ACAAACGTCACTACCTAAACATAGCAGGTAACGGCCATTACACTTATTTATATTTTCATCAGAAAAATTATGATTTTAACAATATTTGGAAACAGCATATAGTAACAAATGGTCAATAAGTAATATTACACAATAACGGAGTTATCCATTGTTTACAAAATTTGGTTTTTTTTTAACTTTGCATTTACAATAATATTTCAATCTCTACATCATAACATTTAAAGCGTTTAATAACTATACTACAGTTATCAAGGATAAATACATATATATCTTTTCTTCCCGTTTATCCATATCTGAATGGATATAAAAATGTCTGCAGGATAAACATAAGGTGAATCAATTGTATGTTAATTTAAATCTTTTATAGTAAGTTTAATTAACACCAAATATAAAAATGTAATTATGAACTGTTGATTTAATTGTTAACCAATAACTATGTATTATGAAAATTCGTATTTCAAATTAAGAATTCAGAACCTCATCCTTTTTGTAGTCGATTAAAAGGCGGGAAAATTAAAAAGTAATAATCATGAGGATCCCAATAGTTGTCGAATAAAAATATGTATTTAACAGGAAGCAAAAGTTTAAGACGAATGATCCGTTTTTCTACTATATTTTTCTCCTACAAAAATCTAAAACATCTATCTATTACATCAAATAGATTCCAATTCCTAGAAGAAAAAAAAACATGTGCTCTAAATATCAACTAGTTATAATCTGCATTTAATTTCTTAACTGGCTGTTTTCCAAGAATTACAACAAAAAAAAATAAAAAAGACAAGTTCAAGCGTATCATTAAAATGTATACGTAAAATGACCTAAAATACTTTTTTTATAGCGACACGCGCAAAAATCTGTCGGGTGTCGGCAGTACCGACATATCAATGAAACAGCGTGTTTTAGGTAAACAAGTGAGTAAGTCGCCGGTCGTGCCAAATGCGATACGTCGACAAAGACAAAGGAATTGCTTCTATGAATTGTAACTTTCGTAATAAGCAAATTAAAAATAAAAATTATGACGTCATAAATAGAACTCTTATTTCGATGACCTTATATTTGGGAAAACTAATAATCGCCGAGATAATAGAGAAGCACACTATGTATACTAAACGGTGCTGGCAAGAACACAAATCAAATGCCATTCTTAAAGCATTTAAAGAATACAACCGCAAATAGAACACTAATCATTATTTAATTATTCAACCCATACACTTTTATAGGGTGTTCCTAATTAGTCCAACAATCTGGGTTATTCCAACGCAATCAATCAAATATCGAAATTGTATAATCGTTAATTCCAATACACTACGGACCTATAAATATTTTAGTTGCAAATAAAACATGTTTAACGACAGCGTGCCATAAAACTACTTTTATAATCAATGATATATGGCAAATAAAAAAAAACAAATTAACAAGGCTTTTTGTTAAGTAACATTGCCATATAGAGTTTTACACACAATATTTCAACGGAAGATTTTGTGTTACTCTACATAAGACTTTTAATTCAATAATATAATATGTATTACTAAGCTAGCTAATGGACAGCTGTCCATTTGCACGGAATTGAAAAATAGAGAATAGCCAATTCTCACACCTACTTAATATGCATATAAAATTTCATAAAAATCGTTCAAGCCGTTTCGCAGGAATATGATAACTAACATCAACGAGAATTTTATATATAAGTTTAGTTATTTATCGTTATCATTATACATTTAAACTCATGTAACATTTAAAACGAGTAGCGGTTTACTTGGTGTGACGTCTGCTATCAAATGAGAACCATTCATTAATTAACAAGCGAATCACGTACACTGCACACTTTGTGATCAATAATAGGGAGCATTACTTGACAATTATTGTCAGTTGAATGATTACCGTGTACTAAACACACATACTAATTAGCATTAGTAAAAAAGTAACTTGAATTATCATCTTTCGAACAATATTTGTTATGTTCGCCTTGGTCATAGACCACTGAATCAATTTGTGTGATTATATAATTACATTTTACATATGAAAATTCAATTTAAGCTAAAAAGGCTATCAACCTTAGCTTATAAAGATGTACATTTAAAGTTTTTGTTAATATTAATGACATGAGAATAAATAACATCCAATTTCATGTATTATTATCATAATTGCATGTTCACACATCTTATCAAAATAAATTTTTAATTTATAAATAATTAATCATAGTTTATTTTACACTATACCGTTCTTTTCATAACAGGCACAACAATCTAGATAATTTGCAAGGAATTGAAATACGTGTACAATTTTACATCTTAGCAGACAGACCAATGCAAAGATAAAAAATTATAAAGGAAACATAAAAAGAAAATCTTGCAGAGCTTCGAGAGACAGAATTTGAATTTAATATCAATAAATTAACTTGTAAATTTGATTATTCCTTAATTTCTTCAATTTTTCTTTTTCCTTTTCAATTTTTTCTAATTTGTCTAATCAACTACACAAAGAATTTCTTTAAATAAATTATTACTTTAACTTAGTAACAAACATGTTGCAGTGACCATAAAATTTGAATTAATTCATATTGTGGTCTTCATTTTATCAAAGAAAATGAAAGAGATGTTTATTCATATTAAAGCAATATCAGAGCTGTAAAGAACTATGGTGATATGTAACAAATGTATCGTTACAACAACATACTGCAATGTACAATGTAAACTGGCTACAGGTAAACAATGAGACTTCGGAATTCAAGTGACACAATCACCTGCGCGGCAATTATTCTCAGAAAAACGCCAAGGACGTGAATCGACGCCCGATAAAATAACAAAGCATCAAAACAATGATAATTACGACATAAATTATTACATAGAAACTTTTTTCTCCCTATATTTGTTTGTGAATAATTTTATTTAGCACCTAGAACCTGGATAAGTGAGAGTCCAAGGGTTTGTGATATTTTTCTTGTCCATAGAGATCTCTCTAACCTGAGTTTCTTACTTATAGATTTTGTCCCAGGGCGGGTTCTTGCTTGTTCAGATTCAAGTGTCCTTTATTGTTACAATTCTGAGATTGTATATTGAATTACTACAACACTATAATCTGGAGTTATCACATAAGGATTGCCTCAAGTATTTGGTAACTGCTAATTGTGCAACTCCTTTGTGTTCAATAACCACATCCATATTTATTTATTTGGCCTAATATCAATATGGTTCATTTTCCGATAACATCAAATATTGTCTACCAACACTTTTCCATCAATGTATTATTGTTATGTAAAAAATATCAAAGGACAAAAACAGCAGTAAACCAACATCATTTTTAATCGAGAATTAGTATTATTTATTACACCCAGATCCGCAAATAATTGTTATGATTTGTGTCAATATTACCACCTTCCAAATTACCCTATCTTATAAATATCAAATTATTTAATTTAAAAAAATGCACTGTAGTAAACTGTTTCATTGACATGTTCATCTAATTGATAATAGTACTTATTTGTATATTCCAAATTAAAGTATATTAATAGGTTTACTTCAGTACTTATCATAAAAACATGCAAAGGATTTAAAAATTAATATATTTGTCCACTGTTGGGATACTATTGGGACCTCTGGCTTATAACATTCATAGAGTTATCATAAAATTTTCAAAAGTTAATTTTTAATTCCTGCATTCAATTTTTACAATGTCAAGATTCAAACTAACCTCACAAACAGGCTGTTAGAGGGCACTCGACGCGTGTTAAATCAGGCAGGCATCAATTGTCCTGTGGAAGACCACCAAATCAGACCACATGGCGATACCATTAAAATTTCCCGGATTAGTATACAATAATTAATCGCCTCGGGTTAACACAGTCAAGGATACTACATTTGGAAATCGGCCAAAAATGTACTGCAGCTAAAGCATGCTAAATTGAAAATCATCTATGCAATTATCGTATTAGCGAACACCACAAAAGGCGTAGTGTGTAAACAAAAATCTTTTTAAGGAACCGACAATAGGATTTTAGTATAATTAGTATAACCAACTGTTACAGATTGTGGAAAATTCAAAGTAAAAAAATTGTAATGGATATTTCATAACAATATTATGATACTTACGAAACTTCTTCCTCTGAGGGGCATTTCACACACAAACACAAATTTCACACAGTTTTAATTGATATTTATTATATAAAAAGAAGAAAAACACTTGTCACTCCACTAGCACAATTTGCAAACAAAATACAAAATCTCATATCACACTTCAGCAGATTAGAAGATTGACAGAACAGTTTACAATTCTAGAACAATCACAATGATGCTCCGTTTTACGTAAGGGAACACTTTGCGTCCTGGCTAAACTACTTTTTGTTAAATATAATTTATATTGTAATTTGTTTTAAATATTTAAATTTTCAAAAATTATCACGAGAAACCTCATTTTCTACAGTTTAACATGAATTCCAAAATACTTCAAGCACAATTAATGTGTAATTCGTGTATTTAAATTACATTTCCATATTATATTATTTTAGAACATCTAAACTAGATTCTACAGGTATAATTTAGGTATTTAAAGTTTCTTTGTAATGAAATAAAAATAAAAAAAGTAATATAAATGTTTCGTATCTAGCAACAAAGTTGCTGTCATGGGTTTGAAGTTGAGCTGTAGAATTTTGATAAGTTTTATTTACACAAATCACAGTGTTGCCCGGACATAACTTTTTCCCAGTTTAAGGAGATACCAACACTTCACTTTAAGGAAAATAAAGGTTCTTCAGTTTCCATAAGTTATTTTGTTGTGTATTCAATCTGTTTAAAAATTAGTTCTTAAACACCAGACATAATTTAAGGACTTATCTGACGTGTAGAAAATTTTTTTACAATTTAAACTTTTTCATTTCGTAACGATTTTTTTTCTGTCTAAGTTTAATTTCCTATGTTAATTTTGAATTTTAACAAAAAAAAAGGTAAATTTGCTGACGACTTCGTATTGAATTTTACAAGTATATAGGGAAACTTCGGGGACTGATGTGTCAAACATCAAAAACATTGTTTATTAAATCACTTGCTGATTGTTCTACACTTATAAGCCTATATATTGAGATATAATTCCAGCTTAGTGAAAAACTTAGTGCCACCTAATAAACATGTTGCTATGATTTATTTACATTTAAATTTTTAGTCGTTTCGTGTATATTAATCAGTAAATATGGAAAATGCTAAGATACAAAGTAAAGTCAAACTGTTGTTTGAAAAGATTCTTAAACCACACTATGTTATGGATAATTATTATGCTGACAATTTGTTTATCAAAATAAACAACACGGATCCAGGTTTGTAACCAATTTAATATAATAAAAGAATAATGTAATAAAGGTTGAGGTTACTTCAGAAAGAGTAACTTTTAGGAGATAACAGGTTCCTTATCTTTTGAATAACTTGAGTTTTTTATTACTTTTATGATATTTATCAGAAATGTACGTTCATTTGATTAATAATAGAAATCTTTACCTTCTCTACACTGTGATATATGTAAAGATGTTTTGTTCTATGACCAGTAAATAAATAAGATATAACTTAATCAGAATCTAAAATTTTGCAATTAAAATCTCACATATTAATTCTTAATCATAACATATTGAACTCTAAATTTGCGTAGTAACAGCTATATTTTTATGGCTCAACAACTGGCCGGTTACATATTTTAATATATTTTTAATGGATCACAAAACTTTACATGATGTCTTTTTACCTTTAATACAATGGGGTTAGTTGTTGCAAAAGTTATAGGCACAGATATGATAAAAAAATATAAATAATAGAATATGCTTTGCTACTCATTTGAAGTTGGGCATGTTTACTTTATTTAATTACAAAAATAGTTTTATTAACATTTTGTGTTATTGTAGTATTGATGTTGTTAAAGAAAAGTGTTACTTTTGTATTTCATAACTCATAGTTCTATTTTAAAGAAATTCTATACTATGAAGTTATTATTTTGTAAATAATATAGTTATTATTGTATGGTTACCTTTAAAACATAATGTTACAAGTGTAAAATAATTGTGTGATTTCAAGTTTGTTGTTATTAGCTGACTCATTCCACACAAACAAACCAAAGTCTATTAATGATGATGCAATATTTGTCTGCCAGTCATTACAACAAAACATGTCTCGTTTTTTGTTGACTTGAATTATTGTTTTGCACAATTATATAATAGTTTTACTTCATCACTAGCAGTTACCTGTGACTTCATCCATGTGATCAAAAATGACCTAATAATTTATTAATGTAGCTTCCTAATAGTGAGATAATTTCTTAAAATGGTTTGGCAGTTTTAGAGCCTGTTTAATGCAAACAAACAAAAAAACAATCAACTCTTGCAACTTTATTATATTAGCATAGAGTAAAGGTATATTAAAATTATCATCATCAATTATTTTATTTATCATTGTTATGTGTTATTTACTGTTATTATAAAATATGTTATCATGTAAACTGTTATGTAAAGTGTGGATAGTGTCACATTGGTTGTATACTGTAAGGATGCTATGCAGTTTTTAAATAAATAAATGAAAAAAAAAATCTTTGCAGTTTACCAATACAACAAAATGTTGGATTTTTTCTTATTATGTTTCTTAGTATAATATTTTAAAATGAATGTAAAAATTAAAGTAATTCATGCTTCAGAGACTTAATGCTCTTAGTTATTGATTAAATAATTTATCAATCAACATCATATAATTATTTTTATCTTTGTTACAGAGGTCACCTACTTTAAATCGCTACCTTTCTTGCCGCAGTTACTTGTAGACAGTTTAGATGGCTTCGAAACATATGATAATACAGTCAAAGTTTTCCTCATACGGTTACTGGCGGTTGTATGCGACAGGGAAGTCAACTTTGGAAAGATATTTTCTAGAAAAGGCGACATGCTTGCACAAGCATTCAATCAGATTGACGGCCCCACCATGAATTCTAGTTTAAGAGTAGCTTACATGGACGTAGCATTGTCTCTCCTTAACCATAGCTCCGGAGTAATTTGGCTGTATGATAGCGATGCTTGGAAGCATATTTTAGTTCTATGCAATGATAAAAGGACAGTTTTCGTCGTTCGAAAGACTTACAAATTCGCATCCAAAATAATGTGGGAGCTAAACCATTTGGGTGACATTTCCAAAATCACAACCACACTCGAGTACATAATGAAACCAGTGTTAGATACAGATTACTTTTCAATTAATCAAATGACTAGTGAGAATGAGGAAGAAATTAGCAAAACTCTGGAGCCGATGCTTCAGATGCTCTTATCCATCATCACTAACGCTGAAGAACTGAGAAAGGGAAATAGCATGTTGATTGAATATATCATAAAAAAATCGAATTTAATAACACTCTGTTACGTTTTATTGGATAAGTTAAGGAGAGAAGACTTGACACTATTAATAACCAAAATACTGTTCGCAGTAGGTGTGGCCAGAATTCTGCATTTGCAACCGAAACTGATTAATGATGTTTACGAAAAGGAAAACTTTATAGAGCTCGGTGCTACTTACTTAAATATTATTCAGTTTCTTATACATAGGCGGTCTCCAACAATGGTGTTTGATTTCTGCAACGCGTGCAGTGTAATGTGGACGACAGCGTGGGAAGGCAAAGCTCCAGCTATGTTTGAGGCGGACGGCAAAAAGTTTGAGTTGCACAACCAAATCGTAGCCATGATCCTTGTACCGTCTCTAGTGTACGCGAACCACGGTAGGCCGATGTCTTCGAGTTTCACTGATGAGAGAGTGGACGAATTCTTGGTGAAACTTCTTAATTATATGTGCTACCATACCGCAAGAGCCGCCTACGCGCTGAGAGACCTTACGGTACAGCTGGATATCCTGTCGATAACATTACAAAGCGTTAAGAGATTAAGTTGTTGGAAGAATCGTTTTTCGAATGAGCAGGCGAATTTAGTTTTCCAAGCGTTGTTTTTTGTACTCAAACAGTACGATCCCGTCGACGACGACGGAGAGATGAAGAACGAAATAACATACGAGGATAGTATGGATAAAGTACTTGTGATGACGTACGTACTGGATAGTTTACTGTCTCTAGTAAAAACATACAATATCAACTGGCATGAGAGCTTCGAAGTGCTGTGTTTGTACAATGTTGTATACCATATTCTAAAAAGGCCAAATTTAACATGTAAGGTAAGAGAAACATAGATTTATATTATATGTTCAACTTAGTACAATATTTGTATTCCACTCGCGGATAGACTTGCTTATCTGTTATCATGTTTTTATCAAGATATGTTAGTAATTAACTTTGGACATGGTTTTATCATCATATGCCTTAACATTGGACAACAAATTTCTTTATGGTATATGAGTATACCATTTAAGTGTGGCTATTATAAAAGGCAATGATTTAATTATTGGTCCACTAAGGCCCTACTAATGCAGCTTCAGTTTGGAAGCTAATTTTTTTAATGCAATACAAGTTAAAAGCTTATAACTAAGTCTTGAATTATTATCGAAGACGCAACATGAAATTAAAAACTTCCAGTTCGTAGTGACTGCATTGAACGTGATTGCGATAACTATAAAGAAATTCCTGCCACCGAACCTGTCTTTGCTGATGGATTCGAAGCCGGGTTCCGCGATGCACGAACTGGGCAAGCTCATCTATATGAAGTTACATGACTTCCATTGGGAGGTGCGGGATTCCGCCCTCGAGTTGCTGCTCGTCTGTACAGAGATATCTTTTATAAGTATGTGCATTTAGATTTACAATATTAACCTATAACTAGTAAGGGTATAATAAAGAATTGGACTTTTATCTTAGAACACCTTTGCAAAAAATTCTCCAGGAATAACACCGCGTATGTATTGTTAGGAAGAAAATCCGTCATTATCGGTGTACTGGCACAACACTAGCCTTACTAGAATGTCAAAGTTTATGTCCCCTCACTAATCATTCTGACACTTGACATGGAAATCGCGCGATTCGCGCCAAAAGATTCTAACTAATAATGTCTAATAGGATATAGATTATTGCGCTCCTGAGGACAGAATATTTTTCAGTGCTAAAGCTTTATTGATAATTTCTAAAATATACCTACTTGTCATAATCTAAAGCGTGAGATAAAAAAAAACAACAAACATAGATTATAAAAAAAATCTTTGAATTAAATTCCAGAATTCCCACCGATCCAAAAGCAAATTCTGTCGAACAATTTAATGACGGTCGCAGTGACAATAGCGCTCAATGATCACGAGTTCTACGTGCGCGCTTCCGCCCTCAAGTGCATTGGTGCTGCTACCAAAGTCTGTGCCATCTGGGACGACCTCAAGACAAACTTCCCCAATATACAGGTGCCACTCCTTTTCTAGTATGTAAGAAAAGCGTTAGACTTTTCGTACACAAAGCAACTAAAATCTTTGAAACTGATGAAATATGACAGCTGTATAGATTTGATCCGCCATCTTGAAAATTGTAGCGACTTGTCTTAGAACAATCTTGGACAAACAGGTAGCGAGGGACTGGCTTTGGCGATAACAGATAGAAATGTGGACGACGAGTACCTGTGAACAAATCTCTATGACATTGTATTGCGTAAGCTTAGCAATTAAAATCGTTTGATTTTGAAAATTTATAACTTTACAAAATTTACACTTCCTTGTGTACGAAGAGCTGTGCTATGATGAACTTAGTAAGTTTTATTTTATCTAAATTATAATCGGTATTTATTTTGTTTTCAGCATATGATTCTAACGATAATGATGGACAATCCTGAAGGTATCGTCAGGAAGGAAGCTTGTAACGTCTTCTGTGAAATCTATCACAATTTAAGAGTAACCCCAGCCTTCAAGCAAGTGTTACATGAATGTATGCTTTGCACAGCGCTCAATGATTTCCATTGGGAGGTGCAACTGAGTGCTCTCAGGTTCTGGAAGATTGTTATACAGCATCATTTAAATGCTCAAGGCATGTTAGATGGTACATTCCCGCCAGTTACATTCTCAAAAGATTCACGTAAAATTGTCACATTAAACGAAAAAGAAATACAAAAAAGGTTACAGAAAACTCTAGAAGAACTAGCTTCAATAGGTTGCTTGACTGTGCTCGTCAAACTTTTACAAGACGAATCCGAAGTTGATATCATGGAAGCGGCACTTTCAATATCAATGGAACTTTATTCTGTTTTAGAAAAATATAAAGTACCTGAAACTCTTCAAGCCGGTGATTGTGAAATGCCTAGTGTTGATGAACTTGATCGTCCTATTAAATTAACGGATTATAGTAATATGAATTCAGAAGCAAACGACACGGCGAAAGTAGATAACGTTATAGAAGGAATTGTTAACGCAGACGATATAAATTTACTGGCTATGATGTATGAAAGTCAAATGAAATTACAAAACGATGAAATGCCTGTAAAAGATCAACCACCTAAACCTAAGCTTCTTAAATTCGCGTCACCGCATTTATTCGTAACATTCTTGAAGAGTAAAGATTTCAAAGCTGTTATTGAACAAAAGAAAAAATGGCGCGAAGGCATCAAGAGTTTATCGTCTCTATTAGACGACGTTCTTGGTATTTACGAAATAAATGATGATGTCAACTCTTTAGATTGTTATTAAAGTTTTGCCAATTTTATACAATTCTTTGTGAAGAATAAATTGTTAAATATAAACAAGATAAAAGAGTCTTTTATTTCTATAACTACGTAATGAATTAACATTTTTTTTAGTAGCCTGCAAGGTCACCAGTAAAACGTCAGTTTTAGCCACTTTTAAAAATGTGTAGTTCATAAACGTTGAAATCATTCAGCTCCTGTAAAATATTCTAAAATTAACGAGAAATTTTAGTATATGTAGGATGTAAATAATATATAAAAATTTTAGTTACGTTTTGTTCATAATTCTACTGTGAATAATTCCTAAATTCCCGTGTTTAAAGCTACTAGAAAACAATTATGTGTTTGTCAAATTATTTGATTTCGATTTTGGAGCTTTTGAACAATACATATACCTGTACAAAAATACTGAAAATAGCAGACAGTTTTAAAAAACATTGATGACCAGATATAAATCGGTCAGTTAGATAAGTTGTAAATTAAAACATCAAATAAGTACGAGTTGGTAATCTATTATTTACTGTCCTTGAAGATTCCGAACGCGTCCCGCGCATACACTTCACTCGAGCAACGTTCATTCCAACTTTATACGTGTTTCAAGTGATCATTTGTTAAATATTTGATGGATTATTAGTGCTTTAGTGCTGTGACGTAATTCAGTGTTTATAATGTATATTGTTTACGTATTTTATTTTAATCAACTCTGTAAAGTTATTAAGTGCCTTTAAAGCTTAATTGGTTATAATTTTATAGCAGTCAAACTAGTGATTCGTGATTTGCAAAAATTGGACCAAATGATGTGTAAAAAAATAAAGAGTGTAATATTAAAATAAATGCTTTTATGACGATTATTTTGAGGCATAATAAAATCTAATCACTAAAGTTTAATTAGAATATTACGAACTGATGATATGATAATTACAATGGCGTTAAATTATTTTATTTAAGACGTAAAATAATGATTTTTAAATGGCCTATGAAATGGTTATCTATTGAACTGTGCAGCGATAACAGTTAATCTGGCCATGATAAGCGGCGCCCATTGAATGTGATTCAAACAAAATGTGTTATAATTGTACACGAAGTAAATTATAAATGAAAAAATGTCTATGAATGATAGGAAGAAGAAACTTATGCTGTTCTTCGCGAAGATATTTGAAGATGAATTCGAATTAAATGCATATTACGCGGAAAGGATTTTAAAATATTTACAAGAGACACCTGTGAACGGTATGTTATTACAGATAATATTGGTGCATTTTTTTTAAACTTGTTATAATATTCATCTATGAATACGATGGAAGGTTTTTGTTGATATGGTCTAAAGGTCGCTTCCGTAATTATTGCAAGACCTATGTAATTTAAATCTAATCTTTTTTAACCAAAGGAACAAAAAACTCTTTGATATACTGTCTGGCTATCTCTTTTAAATAAATGTATGATGTTCTTTTATATTTATAGCGTTCAAGACTTTAATGTTATAATTTTCTTTTCTAGGTTTTGAAACTAACCTATTAGAATCCTCATTTTTCTCCGAAATTTTATTAAAAACTTATAACGGTTGCGAAGTGAAAACAAACTCTGTGAAGATATTCATCGCCAATATTGTATCGGTTATTTACAAAAACGAACTACAGTTTAGCAAGCTAATAAACTTGTTAAGATTCCATCGTTTCTTGCAGTACATGTGCAATTATAATTCAAAATGTGCGAAGTACTCGGATCTCCTGTACGCAAGCATCAACATGGTAACGTCGCCGATAGCTCACTACTCGGGTGTCAAATGGTTGGTGGACAACAAAATGTGGCATTACGTGCTTTGCTGCTGCACGAATTTCAGACCGCCGCGCGTCTCGCGCGCTGCCTACAACTTTATCGCACAACTCCTCTGGAAACTGATCGAATTTGAAGATGATGATGTTTTAGCTGAAATTATTGAGTTTATCATAAAACCTGTAAGGTATAACCAATACCACATTACGAATACAATAAAAGACGGCGAGGAGGTAAATGTTTACGCACCAATGATGTCGTCTTTAAACGCAATGTTGGTCGTTCTGGGAAACACCGATGATCAACTAAGCAAAAGCTACAAAATAGCACCAATCCTAATGCAACGGTTTAATTTCGACACTCATCTTCAAGTTATATTGGACGTTACCAGAGACCCCAATTTGGCTAGAATACTATGCGAGGTTCTGTTCAAACTTTATTTCAATTCAATTGTAGAAGCATACCATCGGAAGAAGAAAACAAACAGTGAGATTATGAACGAGATCACTTCTATATACAACAATGTGCTGCAAAAACTAATCGAAAAGCAAATGTCGGAAGCGGTCGCAGATTTCGTTGTTAAGTGCAATTTATTCTTAGCTAAATTGGGCGCGAAGAAACAACAATTCTTCGAAAGAGATGGAAAGAAGTTCGAATTTCAAAATCAATTCGTGTTGCACTTGGTAGTTCCAATGTGGACGTATCATTCATTAAATTGCGGCAGTGAAGCTAAACTTATCGAAATAGATAATTACTCCTTTAAATTGACGAACGTAACCGCGGAGCATATTACTCAATCTGCGGAGTTCTTTCAAAAAGTCGTACAAAATAATACCGATTATGTTAAGCAGGTGACGATATACACCGTTAAGAATCTATTTCAATTCCGAGGACAATTAACCAAAGCCACAGCTGGTATTCTGTATCAAGGTTTGTACTACGTTTTGCAGACGTTCGTTATGTCAGACGACGTGGGTAATCATTTGATTTTGAGCGAAAATCCACTGCGATCACCTGATGATGTCAGACTATTGCGTCTAGTTCTCGATGCGATAAAAATGCTTTTAAAGGAGCATCATATAAATTGGTACGAAAGCTTAGAGATTATATGTCTCCAAGTAACTCTTTTGAATTTGATGAAGCAAAAATGTATGTGTGCAAAGGTTAGTGCATACATTTATTTAGTTGTGAGAATAATATGTTGGACAACGCTTAGCCGATAGTGATAAAATTTGTATTTTTTAGGGTTTAGTACAAACGATTGACTTGATTAACTTAAGTGTGCGGAATTTCCTCTCCCCGGACATGCGGCTCCTAGTAGAGAGCGATAGTGGCAGCTCTCTGAGCGAAATTGGCGTGATGACCAAGGAGTACATGCAGCACCCGGACTGGGAGGTCCGCGAGTCCGCCCTCAGTCTGCTGCTAAGCTGTACCGATGTGTCCTTTGTCAGTATGTGAATTTCTCCATAATTTCACGCTTAACAACTCGACCCTAAAACATTCACTTCCTATACAAAATTTACAATTTAAAATGTTGCACGATTTCAGTCTTGGGTATATAATTCAAAATTACCTACAATTTCCCGATTTATTTGATCATATTTTTACATAAACCAATAGTTTGACTGTTCCAGAATACATACCACTGCAGAAAGTGATATCCTCGAATCATTTGATGCTGTTAGCGGCGACGAGTGCACTAAGCGATTCTGAGCCTTACGCGCAGGCCACAGCGCTGCAGTGCCTGGCCGCTGCCGCCAAAATCAACAAGATCTGGTCAGATGTCAAGAACGTGCATCCTAATTTATACGTAAGTATTTACTATGCGGTGTACATATTTATGATGCGTCGAAGATAACCGTAGGGGTTGGATTACCTAAACACTCAAAAAATGTTGCTATCCCAACATTGTCTTTAAAAATAACAGAGATAGATATATATATTGTAGAACATTTCGACACTTTAAACTCATAATTACATCACGCTTATCGTCTTCTACTCTAAAGGCGTTGAATACTTGTACGATTGGTCTTTGTATTCTGGTTTCCTATACTAATAATATTATAGAGAGGAAAGATTTTATTGTTTGTTTGCATTGCATAAGCATATTATAAGCATATAATATGCATTGAATAAGCTCCAAAACTACTAAACCAATATTTTTTTTTTCACTTTTGGGAAACTACTCTATCCCCGGGTGACGAAGGCAATATTTATTACTAGTTTTAAATTCTTTACGGACGAAATCAAATTAAACTACTATTTTATTTATTTACTTATTTATTCATTCATTCATTCGTTCGTTCGTTCATTTATTTATTTATTAAGACAAGCCAACAGAATACATATAAAATAGCAGAAAAACAAAACTATTAAATTAAAATTATTAAATACATTAATAACGATTATCATTTTACCAGGTACAATTGATTAATTTAGCGCAAAGAAACCAAGAAGACATAATAAGAAAAGAGGCAGCTAATGTATTGACTGAAATTTTCTTACACCAAAATATTTCTTGTGAATTTAAAAACTGTTTGTTCCAAGTTATGCGAAAAGTTGCGTTGAACGACTTGCATTGGGAAGTACAGACAGCAGCACTTAACTTCTGGCGACACGCGATAAAACAACTATGTCTCGATCGCGGCATGATGGACGGGAAATTTCCAACTGTAACTTTTTCAAAAGAAAAAAGAAAAATTATCGTCTTCAATGACAACGAAATAAAGAAACAACTCAACAATATCATGAATGATCTGTCTTCTATCGGTTGCTTAAATGTTTTAGATAAATGTTTAGATATAGAACAAAATGTAGCTGTGATAGAAGAGGCTTATAAGATTGTAACCGAATTAAAAGTGGTATTAGATAATTATAAACTTAGTCCGACACAAACCACTGCTCCTAAAGTGGATTTGACTGAAAGTAAAACGGCAATCGATATGGATTGTGAAATGGATGTGGGCATGGAATTGTATTCATCGCACGGAGGAATGTTTGATTTAAGAGAACTGATTATTGATGAAATAACGAACACGTCACAAAGCGATCTCATTATAGATATTATCAACAAAAGACCTCGGGAACAAAAAGAACAGTTAGATACACACGATAGTTTACAGAACCCGATACAACCGTATGCGTTTTTACAAAAAGTCAATTCGATTGACTACCAGGCAATTATAAATGTTAAGAAAGGATGGCGTCCAGATGAAACAAATCTAGACGATTTGATAGACGAAATATTGACCAATCAAAGTGCAACACAAATTAATACCATAGATATGTGTGACGTTTAGAATTAATTAAATGTTTTATACCATAAATATTTTTTTTATTGAATACCTATGCGTTGAAAATAATATTGACTATGTCAATCAACCGTTTTATAGTTGATGGTTTATCATCGTCGAATTTTTTGGTAGTAACTAGTAAAAACTGATATTTTCCTTGGTGTATATGTATGTAACAAAGTTACTCCCGCGTTTCGTCTCATGAATATGCATATCTGAGGCCTATGTTAAGAAAGGATGGGGACACATAGGAAGGGGAAATATTCTCTTTCTCTGCATCTACTGCTATGTCGATTAAAAGTAGGCAACACTGTAAATGCAGATGTCAATGGGCAGGGGCAGTTTTGCTATTTCGGCGAAATCAGGAGGATGCTTACTTGTTCGCCACAATATAATAAGAATAAAATTACCACATAGAAATTGAATCAGTCACAAAAAAAATTATCTCCCAGATTGGAAATGCAATTCACATTTATTTATGGTTGCTACTACAAAATAAAAGATATATATTTCTAGAATTAATCTTTATATTAAACAAACTAAAACTACTTATTTAAATCTATTCAATTTCTATAACAGCTCCAACTTTGGACAATGCTTCTTTTAGTTTTTCCGCCTCATCTTTAGAAATGTCAGCCTTCACAACTGTAGGTACACTTTCAACAAACTTCTTTGCCTGTACCAAGTTAAATCCTTCCAGTAGGCTCTTGACCTCTTTGATTAGCGCAACCTTCTGTTTGTCATCAAACTTGGTCATTTTAACCTAAAATATGAAGAAGATTGTGTTTTTATGTTTCTTTTTTTTAAATAAAATTATACACATACTAAATTACAACACTGATTTGTAAGTCTTGAATTATTGGCTATGGTATTTTATACAAATTTAACAAAAAATAGCAAATATGAATTATGAATAAGAATTCATGGAACTCACTGTAAAGCTAGTCTTAACAGCTTTAGGTGCAGCTTCCTCTTCATCTTGTGCTGCCGGCGCGGCCATCGCAAACCCTCCGATAGGCATAGCAGGCGCATCAGGAAGGTTCAGTCTTTTTTTCAAAACCTGACTGAGTTCTGACACTTCCAACAAGTTAAGATTTGTTATATCTGCTACGATCTTCTCTATTTTTGGTGATACTGGCTTGTCAACACCTTCCGGTGGTGGAATGGTAAGGGGTTTGATAGCTTCACTTACCTCTTGTCTTATAATAGTGCTGAAAAGAGATATAAGGTTGGCGTCACGTAAATAGAACAAAGGGAAACAATTTAATTAAATAAAATTATGAACAACCTGGTGTCGTTTAAATTGAATTGAATATGAATATCAATCTTGATTTACATAACCTTAAAGTTTGTATTTATATAAGTTTTATTACCTTCTGGAAAATGTTCGCCATTGGCGAAAGGGGATATTTTTCATTATCCTGACGGTATTCATCACTGTTTAGTTTATTATATTTAGAAATAGTTTTAACAATATTTTGGTTCCAATTACCAGATTTATGATTTTTATAGGTTATTTTTCAAATACACTTGACTTCTCAATAACAGATAAAAAATGTTACTCTTGTATAAAATATGAACAAAAAATTATTTATTTTAACAAAAAATCTATACGCAAAATCAACAGGAAATCAAAATTTTATTACAAAATTATATTAGACATGTTTTGAAGAGTCGATTTCTACGCACATCATGGCTTTAGGTTTTCGGGTTTATTTGTACTGTCCTCTGTCAGTTCAAACAGCTGATAAAAGCTGACACCTGTCAACGTCAACGTCAAATGTCATTTATTTACAAATTTATTTTATTTATGAAATCATATTATTAGCGTATTATACGATGTTTAAAATATTGTATGCGAAACAGAGTTACCGACAAAAAATTGACCTCTAAAAATGACTTATTACAAAATAATTATACGGTAGCAGGTAAGTCAAAACATAACTATGTACTACTTGGATGTGGTATTTTCGATTTTTAATGCAAAATCGCTAATATATTTGTAAATGCCTGGGATAAAACCGCACACCTCTAGATTAGAAGTCTTTTTTTTAACCCAATCCACACATTTATGTCCTTAATTGAACAGTATTTGTTGTTTGGTATTTCATAAAATTTGTATGCTCGTTAATTTTAATCCAATTATATCAGACTTTAGTTCATCTGGTCTGTATACAATCCTCTTTATATTGAATAGGTTTGTTATGAAACTTGTCTATTTCTGTTTGTGGTGCATTCGGTAACCATAGATTTAGTTTATGTAATCTTAAATAAAACCATGATTTGTTTAAATAAAATCTTTTATTCAGTATTTCGACTTTTCTTGAAGGTGGCATCAAAAATTCCACCCTACATTTGCAACATTATGAATTATGAATACACACAATAAGAAAGTAAAGTTGTGAAATTTTTAATAGCTTTCTAAGATTAGCCTTCGGTGATTCCTTTGGATGTATTTTTAATTTTTACTAAGAAATACTCAAGTTTGCGTAATTTGCTAGAAATAGATGTTTAATTAATAAAAAGGAAAATATTCTTTTGCATTTGTATGTGTTCTCTCTGCGTACTTAAGCAAAACTTTTGTTAATTGAGTTTCTAATTTTATCGAAGGCTTAAGAAAACTTTGCAATGTTGATGAAATTTTTTCCAATTATTTCTAGATTTTACGTAAACGGTAAGAGATTTGTGTCGAAAGAATAAGCTCGGGAAAGAAATGAATAGCTAATATTTTTTAATTTAATTTAGTTTTGTTTCTTAAAAAGGATTATAAAATGAAATATCAATTTAATTTATACTTTTGATGTTTAACATAGTTAAAAAAATATATAGGTTATGAATATGTTCCATGGAGACAACAACATACATAAATATATGTAATAATAAAAAACCGTTTAATTGTTTGTGTAAACTATTTGCTAGGTAATAAGAAATTCGATTAATCATATCGTATTATGTTTAAAATTTGACCCATTTCCTGTTTACACTAATGAAAGCTACGTGATATAGTCTAAGAGCTAATATTAAAAGACTGTTGTACTTGTAAGTAGGGAATATTCTTGATAACTTAGATACTTCTAGAAACATTGATTTCTTTACTGAATGTTACTGATGATAAGTGACGGAGAATAATTTTTGAATGATAGTAGCTAGCGGTGTTAGTGAATCTCAGTAAATGTCAGATAGTTGACATAGGTTTATGTTGAAGAATTGTCTGGCAGATGTTCATGTCGGTGGTTAATAATTATCATCTAAATATGGTAAAAATATGCTAGCAAGGGATTCATCGAAACCAGGTAAAGGGTCTATAAGAAGAAAAATTCAAACCTTAACTATATTGCTCTTTAGTTTGAAAATAACGTTTTTTAATTTAGCGGTTTATAGGAGAACGTTTTAATTATTATTATTGGCTCTTAGACTTCCAATATACCTATTAATGTAAGGTTGCCCATTGTGCGATATTGGATACTCGGGAAAAGTTTCCAGAATGTTCGTTACGTTTAGCGTAGGTACGGACTACGGGTTGTCGTCAGGAGCTTTCAGTTCGCTTTCAGAAGCCGCAGCGATCTGACGTGCCAATTGAGTTCGTAATTAAATTACTTTCCGTACAGCTGTCTAATTGAAGTAAGTTTTTTTAATACTTTAAACATGTGACTTGACAATGTGTACGTGTAAAAATACGTCTTCGTTATTTTTTTAATTAATTCTTACTATACAACTTTGCATAATTATAATATGTGAATTATTGGTTTTGAGGACGATTTCTAACCGAAAGAAATATGTTTTTTTTCTTTTAAATCATCCTGCTATTTTAAAATACGTATTTGTTGTACAGTTTTGGCCAACCACAATTCTTTAAAAGCCTTGTCTACATTTAAAACTCCTTAATCGCGGTGCCACAATTCACGGGAACAATAATAGGCAAATTTCACATTAACTTTTAAAAATATTTGGTTATGGTTTCGGTATTCTCGGCACATTTACGGAACGTAACTCCCGTATATGACGAGATTTGCCTGTATTAACTTAAGGGAGTCACTTAATGGCTATAAATGTTGCTTAGTGTATAGTAAATTGTATATCGTTAATTATACTTTGACGTAATTTATAAAAAACAATATTTTAGTTGATTACGCGAGCAATTTTTTCCCGATTCTAAAATTAATGGAATGTGATTTCGATACACTTGTAAGGCCTTAATTGGAACTTACTGCGCGCTACTAATTACTGAAATGCTTCTTTATGTAAGACGAAACGAACTTTATTGAAAAATTTGAAGTTTCGTAAATATTTTCCATAGACATAATTTTTTTTAGGATTAGTACTTAGATTTTTAATAGATATTTACAAAAATAATTTGACGTTGACTTACACAGATAAAAAATATTATGTACCACTTTGTTCTTAGGTTCGCGTGTTATTTTTTGTCGACGACTTTTTGACACGAACAAGTAATTGCCACTGTTATTGAGAATAAATACTATAATATTATACTGTAAAATTAAGTTTCTTATCAGATTAAGATAAAATAATTGTCTCGAATCAATAGAATGATGAATCGATGGTCCAATCAGCCTAATGGGAAACATCCAAATAACTCCATAATCAGTATATTAATTTCTATATTAAAAATTTTATACTGTAAGCGGTTACAGTGAGGTAGCTCCGTCGAAGAACCGGTACAAAAATATGCTGTTTTATCAAAGATAATGAGAGGGATGACGATATGTTTTTAGCGGGGGAAACTCACAGCTAGTAGACAATTTCAAATCACAATGGATTCGAAATTGGGTCGCCCGTGTGACAAGGCTGTGCTTGACAGCATTTGTACCAGCTATGACAAGCTTCAACTGCAGCGGTTGTGAACAAATTTAACAATACATTAACAGTGGGTTTCTGAGACCAAAATATCCATTTAAAACATACTGTTATCACTGTTTTGTCAAAGAAAGAGACAGGGATGCCGATGTATTTTAAGAGATTTTGGCCTCAAAAACCAACGGTTAGTAATAGTATTATAGTTTTAACAAGGGGTCCGATTTCATCAGTGCGGAGTTAAAAAATAGCCAATAATATGCTCGTATACATCGGCTACCTTCCCGTCTGAAAAAACATGGGTCCAGACGTTCCGGAGATTACCCGGAACAAACGCGGCCTTGCGAACAGACATACGGATATACAAAAAAATTAAAACCTAGTTTTTCGTTATCAGCAACGTAAATACATTATTTGTACGAAATATACATACTCCAATTTTATTCACATGCACAGATTATCTTTTGTTTTAATTGAAGGTTAAATTGCGTTAATAATGGATAAGTCGCACATTTCAAGATAAAATTCGTTAAAAGAGTGACGTTTTTGATGACAGTAAAAAAATATGTCCCCTATATAATGTGAACAAACAGCACTATTTAATTCCTTCATAGTCACCTAGGTTCTTCGTATTTATTACGTAGACCAAAGTAGAATAAACCTAATATTCACCTTGCGCGCAAACGAGTCTTAATAGGTAAAGGGGTCATGAGACGAACAATTTATGCCCGTCAGTACTTACGTGTGTGTAGGTAGCCGATAGATGATTGAAACGATGTGGATCAGGGGTCGTCAATATTTAGATCGTATAGTAAACTATTGAACAAATATTTATTTAATTACTAAATCCCACTATTATCTTTATTTCGAAAATTTCAAATAGGCTCTTGCTTGGCAAACAATATGTTCGTAAGCGGAATTATGTTGGAAGGTTATTTTTTATATCATACGGTGGCAAACGAACGAGCGGCCACCTGAAATCGCTGAAATAGCGAAGTGACCGTTGCCCATAGACACACTCAATTGCATCGTGTTGCCTACCTTTAATCGACGGAAGAAAGGATGCACAGGGAGAAAATATTTTCCCTTTCCATGCATCCTCTCATCCGGAAAGTCCACTTCCACTTCCCATCCTTTCCTTATAAGAAAAAGGGTGGGAAGGGAAAGAGGAATAAATTAGGCCTCCGGGACGCACACTCATCAGACGAAACGCGGAATTGCTTCCACTTGACGCCTGTCTTCTGTGCGGTGCGAGGATGTTAAAGCGGGCTCTATCACTGTTCAATTATTAACAGTGGTATTGATTTAAATTTATTACTTGATATAAACGTAGCTGATGTCAATGAACTTTAATTATATATTAATTAATAATATAAGCTACGTAACAATAACATCCATTGTTATTATATTTCATTGCGGTATTACATAACCTGCTCTGTGACATAAATTGCAACTGCAAGTTATAATCTACGCCGATAAGCTTACCGTCCACTGCACCCACACATGTAATATAGACATGTATATATACAGTAATATAGGACTAAACCTATGTTTGCTAATAGCAGACGTTATGTAATAAGTCGTGTTATACGATTTTATACCTTGAAGTTAGCATTTGTTCTACTTTAAATTGAATTTTCGCTTGCAAGGAACATATTTCCTCCTTGCTTCTTGGTTTGCATTTAGTATTGATGTTAAGGATTGTTTATAATTTTCCTCTTTGGAGATGTAAGATTATTGTCGTTAGTGTAAGACATAGTTGAAACGAAATTGACTTGATAGTAAGTTTCCTTTTAATTCGAAAAAGTCGTAACTTTAAGGCATTTGATTTTTATCTTGAATTGGATGAATGAATTGTTTTTTTTTTTAATATACTGCAGGTAATTCTTGAACCTATTCTAATAAATTCTATATATTCCAGATATTTAAGAACAATGTTGGGCGGTAGCGCGTTGTGGTTCCGGCATGGGTTGAGGTTACACGACAACCCGGCGCTACACAGCGCTTTGGAAGACAAAACCGTGCCCTTTTTTCCCATATTCATCTTCGATGGAGAAACTGCAGGTATGAAGAACTAGAAATAATAGCTCTTGCAGCGCTTCCTTCTCTGACAGTCTTTACAGAAAGGTTCATTATTATAGCAAAAAATAAATAAAAAAAGATTTACTTTTTGTTTTAGCTAGTTACATTTTTATTTTTACTTATAATGTAGGCACGAAGGTTGTGGGATACAACCGCATGCGGTATCTTCTGGAAGCGCTCGAGGACCTGGACAATCAGTTCAAGAAGTACGGCGGCCGGCTCATCGTTATGAAGGGCACGCCGCACGTCATTTTCCGCCGCCTGTGGGAGGAATTCGGTAAGACGTGAATCAATTTGTTCTAAGGAAACTATGTATATGTGTCTTCGTGAGTAAAGCGATAAGGCACTTACTGAACTACCGCGTAATATATGTTGGGTTTGTGTAACATTTTCAGGCATAACTAAGCTGTGCTTCGAGCAAGATTGCGAGCCGGTGTGGCGCGCACGCGATGATGCGGTGAAGGCGGCGTGTCGCGAGACCGGGGTCGTGTGTCGCGAGCACGTCTCCCACACGCTGTGGGAGCCCGACACCGTCATACGATACAATGGGGGAATCCCGCCTCTTACGTATCAGATGTTTCTGGTCAGTTTTTGTTTTTACTGGCGAAATAATTTTACAAAAATATATTGTTATCTCTCTCATTTATTATACTGTATCCTTTTCTCACACACGTAGGGTTGGCGCACCAGTTTTGTCCTACAGATATTATTCTCTTTGGAAAAACTGTAAAAATCGTTTTATACATCATGTTAACCTACAGCTATCTTGTAATAAATGTTTAACTTTACTATTGTTATTTGAATCAATCTAAAAATACCTATTACAGCATACGGTGTCGACCATCGGCGATCCGCCGAGGCCGGTCAGCGATTTGGACCTCACTGGGGTCAACTTCGGCGTGCTGCCTGATTTCTTCTACCAGGAATTTACGGTCTTCGATAAAGTAAGGACAACTCACCATATGTTTATATTAAACGATTATTTTAACTATTGTACTGTTCAGTCTTGTAAACTTTATAACAGCTCGCACGAGGCTCAATTTTAGGTATTGGAAGGACGTAATAATAACGATATGCCTAATACAAAAGTATTAAACCGGTTCATTTCTACGGTTTATAAACGATATAGCCAGTAATCTCGTATAAAATATCAATGTCTGATGAGCTGGTGCCTCCAGGTGCCGAAGCCGGAGGATCTGGGCGTGCACCTGGACCGCGAGGACATCCGCATGATCCGCTGGGTGGGCGGGGAGACTGCCGCGCTGCACCAGATGCAGCAGCGTCTGCAGGTCGAGTACGAGACATTCTGCAGGTCAGTCACATCACCATAAACACATTAGTTACTTCTAAGACAGTCATTTTGTTGTTTTTTTTTGTAGAAAGCAGTATCGTCGTGAACGAATATGTTAGCAATAAGGAACGTTATATTTTGTAAATATTATAATTTGCAGAGGCTCGTATCTCCCTACTCACGGGAATCCGGACCTTTTGGGCCCACCTATTTCGCTCAGCCCGGCGCTGCGCTTCGGATGTCTGTCTGTCCGTAGGTAAGTTGTAATTCATTATTTTAAATTGGTTAATTTAAAAGTTTAATGTATAAGTTATAACGCACTAGTTGTTAAGATTTGATTGATTTGCACAGTTTTTATTTCAAATCAAAGAATGATGGTAAAATCTTCTTCATCATGAATTTTGACAGATTCTATTGGGCTGTACAAGATTTGTTCCAGCAAGTGCATCAAGGCCGTCTCTCTGGCAGTCAGTTTATTACAGGTACCGTTGCATTCTACTAAATCCGACTCGAAGGACCATACATTAAAATATTTTGTATAGTTCACTTAAAACCATCTATGGTGTATTTACAGGTCAGCTGATTTGGCGCGAATATTTTTATACAATGAGCGTGAACAATCCAAACTACGGTCAGATGGGAGGGAACCCCATCTGTCTAGATATACCCTGGAAGACTCCGGAAGGAGACGAATTGACTAGGTAGTCACTTTTATATTATGTCTATCATATGTTTATTTCGGAGAAGTTCTTTGAAACAGTTGTCGGAGAAAGCGATTTTGTTCTAGAGGTTCAATATTTTTTGTTTTAGAAGTGTCATTGTTGTAGAAATTATTTTTAATTTAAGTTTAGTTTAAGTTCTTAAATTAAGCAAGGTAATAATTTGTCTACTTTTATTTATGTTTCGAATAAACAGGTTATTGGGTAATTAATAAAGTACGTTGTAAATAACCTCCACTCTTCTAAAATTTTATTATTTTTATATGTAAGTAATATTTTTTTGTTTGGTTAAAAGATGGAGCGCTTTATGTGGTATTCTGGTGTGATGCAGGTAAGGTAAATGAGCGTTTATGTGTCAGATGGATAGAGGGTCGCACTGGGTTCCCGTTCATCGACGCGGCGATGCGGCAGCTGCGGTCTGAGGGTTGGCTGCACCACGTGCTGCGCAACACCGTCGCCTCCTTCCTCACGCGCGGCACGCTCTGGCTCTCCTGGGAGCACGGCCTCAACCACTTCCTCAAGTACCTGCTCGACGCTGACTGGTCTGTATACGTCTTTGAGATGGTTGTCTATGACCTACTTTAGTTTCACGTTTGCCCACTAAGGTCACTGACCTCTATAAATAGACCGGCTCTAAGACGTAGTATTTTGTGCCTATTTGATTTTCCTCATTTCAGCGCTGATGGTAGCGGTTTGTAGGAATGTTGACGATTTGAACTAATAATAAAGATTTAACTGTAACGTAACAACGCGTTAAAATTGGAACGAAGCAAAAGCTGTAATTTCCTAGCAATCGCCTATCCATTTATAGAGGCCAGTGTCTCCGGTAGATAAGTTTGTCAACAATTATCTATGGGGTTTTGTAAATGTGAAGAATGGTGTGAGTTCTGCAGGTCAGTGTGCGCGGGCAACTGGATGTGGGTGTCGTCGTCTGCATTCGAGGCGCTGCTGGACTCGAGCGAGTGCGCGTGCCCGGTGCGCCTGGGCCGCCGCCTCGACCCCGGCGGTGACTACGTGCGCCGCTACGTGCCCGAGCTGGCGCGCGTGCCCGTCAACTACATGTGAGTCACTCCCAACACATGACAGTGCTGCTGGACTGGAACTGCGCTTCACATTATGACATTGACATTATAGTAGGTCGTGGTACATATGAACAATAATAACATATGAACAAATAATAATATATGAATTTAAACTTTTTTGTGTTAGATACGAGCCGTGGAAGGCTCCTATCGACGTGCAGGAGCGTGCCAACTGCATCATCGGCAAGGACTACCCCGCGCCCATGGTCAACCACCTCGACGCCGCTGCACGCAACAGGAACAATATGAAGGTAACCTCCAAAAACGACTACGTGTGTTAACTGTTATTGACTGTGCTCTCTCTAACTCTAAACTCTCTTCTAATAATAAATATGTTTATTTCAATTTCCCAGTAAATTTTCGAATTGTTTTATACACATGTTATTCATCAAACCTTTCTTAAAATAAGAAAAGCGAAAAACAAAGCCGTATATAAATAAATATTATGAAAAAGACGTAAAATTGGATCATTTACCGGTCGTTTTCGAGTACTTTACGTACACGTTTTCTAAGTTCATATAAGCAGCATTATAGACACGTATTTAATTTCACTTCAAAATACTTTAGCACTCAAATCTAATCCCATATTCCATCTATCCAGGAGTTACGTAGAATCCTGGAGAAGGCTCCGCCGCACTGCTGCCCCTCCTCAGAGGAGGAGATCCGTCGCTTCATGTGGCTCAACGACGACACCGAGTCTGAGATCAGCACCTCTTAGACTAAATACGACTTTATTACAAGCGTACGAAAGTCTAAAATACACGCAGCTATGTTTTTTTTTTTAAATTAAGAAGATGTCACACGTGCGGAGTCTGTGTGGCATTTCTCTAAAATGCTTTTTGCTTTTATCAATATTGTACTTGTGTAGAAATACTTTACTTTTTTTCTATAAATACAGTAGAAATTGCATAAGCGAGAGTCAAAGCGATATTTTTTCTCGCTTATAGAGGTTTCTTACTTTGTTTTTATCTTATGTAGGTTATCCGTTGGGACTGGACAATGTCTTATAGAAGTTTCTCGCCTATTCATGTTCTAATTTCTTTAAGATATCCAAAGTAGAAGCATAAGTAAAACATATCTCGAATATAATATCAAGTATATAGTAAAGTAAATATAATAAAGATGGTTAAAGACAGTTTTTTAATAATATATTTTTTAAATATTTATTCTTATTGGATCTGATATTGGTATTTTTAAAACTTTTGAATCATTTTTTTGGATTTGATGGACCCAATTAAAACAATTTTACAACGACTTCTACAATATGTTTTTTTTAGACATATACATAAAAATCTAAAGAAATATATCACAATAAGAAAATAATAAAATCCAATCAGTTAGAAAAAAAAAATATTAAATAAACGAAAAACTATATGTTGACAATCCAAGTAAAATAACAGGGTTCAATCTACTCTACATTTTTTAATATTTGTTTTTTGTTATTATTTACAAAAAATTTTAAAACAGACTATGTATACTTATATTTATGATAAATTACCAAAGTATTTACCCAATATTTTGATATTTATGTGTGTTTCGATTTATATGTGGTGTGAAAAAAATAAAATAAAAAATGTTTACCAAATTGGAGTTTTATTTCAAATTTTATTCCTATTTCAATTAATCTTATTATTTATAACACTCTTATTTCATTAAAAATTATATTTTTTTAACCTAATAGGAAAAAACATTTTTTTTTATAAAAAAAATTAATAAGTAATTTTATTTTATTTTCAACAAAACACAAAAGGATTTTTTAACTACAGGAATGATACAATTCTTAATAATATATTAAAAATGATTTAAATATTTAATATTCTTCAATATATTTTCCTTACCACCCTCTAAACTATACTTATACTATTTTACACTGTTATGTACTACAAATAAACAATAACATATTATATATACCAATGAAGAATTAGTGACATTCTTGTATAGTCAAACAAGGATATCTAGCCTGATGAGGCACTTATCGCTGGTTACTTCTGTCAAAAATATATAAAACCTGCTTAGGCATAAAAGAGAAGACATGACCGCTATAGTACAAGAATGGCTTTGTGATTTTTTTGACAATGACAGGAGGGCGCTAGTGTGCTATTATAATTTAATTTCACTTATGTTTACCGGGTCTAATATCCTTGTCAGTCTATATATAATAAAAATATCACATGACATGATTTAACATATTTAATGCCACCAATATACATATCCCGCCCCACCTATGTATATAGTTAACAATACTAAGCAACACAGTATGTATATACCAAGTTATTATGCTTACCTAGTACATTCTCATGAGCCATTTTGTATTGATTCAGCCAATACAGTAACTAAATCATTTAACACTTTACTAGTTGTTGAATCCGGTAGTTCCTTAACTGCAGCAAGACCTTGTCCAGCAAGTTTACCAACACGAGCGTCAATTGGTAAGCAACCGAGGAACTGCAGCTTGGATATCTCCGCTAGAGATTTACCACCACCACTCGAAAATATATTTGTGCATTCATTACAGGTTGGGCATTGATACCTGAAATAAATATTCATAGGTTGAAACATATATCACAAATATTACTGGATATTACCTGCTGGTTTTCATATTTCTTATATTGTTTGTTCATAGTGAATAGGGCAAAAATGTGTAGGAAACACCGAGGATATAATCAACCTATGGACTGGCACAACTAGAGGAACTGTTAAGGAGTTGCCAAAGTTTAAGAGATGCTTGCTTCTTGAAGCGCACTCAATTGTATTTAATTGGAAATATCCCAACCAGACCATTTATCCAATCCTTCAAAGAGTATTAAAAAGACAACTATGTCTTTGTAACCTATCTTGTCATATTTCACATGGAATTTTTTTTTGTTTTTTTGCTCAATACATTTTTTATATACTTAAAGGAGTTTTCTTTAAAATCAGTTTTACTAACCCACTCATATTCTCAATGATTCCTAGGATTGATATTCCAGTTTTCCTACAAAATGTGATCTCCTTCCGGACATCCTCAATGGCTACTTCCTGTGGGGTAGTTACTATTATTGCTGAACATTGAGGTATTTGTCGGAGATTTTCCATTACTGTTATATGCTCATCAGAGGTGCCTGAAAATTTAATTACAAGAAATATTCTTATTTTATACTTGAACTTGCCCATGCTTTCCAACTGGACCATTACTCTTGTTCATGTAGTATTCACTATGTATAAATACTCACCAGGTGGAGTGTCAATCACTAGGAAATCAAGATCTTGCCAATATACATCCTCTAAAAACTGCTTAATCATTGCCGTTTTCTTTGGACCCCTCCAAACTACAGCATCATTGCGAGATTTTAAAAGAAACCCAATGGACATAACCCCCAACCTCTGTTCCTTATCCAAATAAACTGGCACCCAACCATCTGTGCCTTGGTGTATATTTTCATTTTCCAAATTTAATATATGCGGCACACTTGGACCACACAGATCCACGTCCAGAAGGCCAACCTGAAAAGTATGTTTTTTTATTTATTAGTATTACATACATTACATTTGCTATTGTAAAGTTTTATCGTAAAAGTCTTTACCCTAAATTAAATCTCTATTTCATAACAATAATCTAACCTTAAAGCCTCTTTCCTTAAGAGTAAGAGCCAACTGCGTGCTCACTGTTGATTTACCAACTCCACCTTTTCCTGATAACACTAGAATTACTGATTTAACGTTTTCTAACATTTTATATATTTAATTTTGTATTTAAAATAAGTATGTGGCATACGAAATTATTTATCAACAAAAAGAAATTATAATCGAAATGTGATGTCAATGTCAATGTCATTGTCAATCAATTCAAAGATTGAAAATTGTGTATAACATTTATAACGTTTTCAAAAAAAAAGTTTCTCATATAATACAGTACAAATTATAAGGGTGTTAATAAGACCACCCGAAATTCAGTACATGTATGAATATAGAAGCGAGAGAGGTATGTCAGAACTCAGGACCTAAACAGCGCTAAATGGAAGTCCGTGATGTTACGTGGTTTTAGCCTCTGGGGTTAACGGCGTGAGTTATGTTGTTGTTGCTGTACAAATTATAATTATTCAGAATATTGCAATAACGTAAGATTTTCTTGTTCTTTAAATTTAAAAATTGTTAAGTTTAATTATTTCGATTTGTTGCTCTATTTGTTTTTTTGACAGCGCTTGCGCCAAATTACGATGGTGGCGCCGCCTATACTGTTTTTCAGTTTTATAAAGATTTTTTAAGTGGAGGTCGTGCTAACTGTGTGCAGATACTTGAAAAGAGAAATGCTACATTTTTTCTTTTTTATGACAGATTTTAAGCAATTTTCTGACATAATTTGTTTGAGAAATAAAGCTAACCTTTATATTTAATTTACTTGTATGTGAAGTCCAGTGTTTGTGTAGTTTTTATACTACAGAATTTGAGTTCTGTAGTTGTGCAAGGATTTGTACCGGGTTTAAGCTTCTCCGTTGCTTTATTCTACGTACTTGTATTTCCAAGGTAAGTAGTCACGTACAAAACCTCCTGTATCTTATGTAGCTAATGTATGACTTACTTTTTGTATTTTAATTCAAGATCAGACCTCAAAAAAAGGATTTAAACTGGAATTATGCGGGCGTGTTCATGTACGCAATCGTTTATTTTACGACCCTTAGACATACGAAGGATGAGGGGTGATCGGATGTGTAGATTGCCAAGTGTATAATTATAGATGACAATTATATACTGTGTATTATTATAGTTATGAAACTGGCAAAAATTCAAATTTAAACAGCTATATATTTTGTATAGGTAAAAGAGAAAAAGAAGTTTAATATTTTTTCTTCATTTAGGGATTAAAACACTTATTTGAATAAGTTCTCTATTTTCTTGTGTATAAGTATATAAAAGATAAGATTTGATATCTCTGACTATCATTTTGGTTTGTATAGCAAAATCATAACATGTATGGCCAATACAAAAGACAGAATTGTGTGACATTTCACTGTTAAGAAACCACTCTTTAATGTAGTATGAGCCAGTTACATACATTTATGTCAGTATGGACAAGAGATTACAATGAACAAAATGCTAAATAAATTATATTCAATATGAGAAGGAAAATGGTTTATAATATATGCAATCTTAGTGTGATTTAATGGATTGAGCTTTTGAAAATGGCTGATGGAAATCTATATTGTAAATTTGCCATGGCTTTTCATTCTGTGATACTTGTATAAATCATGTCGTCTCATCTTTTTGATCCATAAATATGTTTTTGTATTCGCATTTCAGAAGTTGAAACATACAGTTATTTTATATATATATATATATATATATATATATATATATATGTAATTGTGTAAAACAGTAACTGGTTTTAAAGGCTTTTGATATATTAGTTCTTTATTCTTATTACTTGTTTCATCACCTCAGAATCATATGTTAAGTATTGTTTTTTGAATATTAATGTTAAGAGCATATTATATTTGCCACCATGTAACATAAAAAAATATATATTACAGGTCTCTTAAATAGCAACTATTTAGATTAGTACTGTAGCTGATTATGGTTACACTATTCTACTCTCCCCTTTACCCCTTGCCGTTTACACTATTTTTTCGCCCCTCCCTCCGTACCTTTTGGTTTTTTTTGTGTACCTATAGGTAAGTTTGTCGTTTTCGATCCGTATTTTTTTAATTATTTTAATTAAATACGACCGGAACAAAACTTCCGCGTGAAGGGGAACTTCTTGGTAAACCATGTCCAAAGAAGCCATAATCGTTTACTTGGGATTGAATAACGTATATATTGCGAATTTCCAATAATTATTTCGCAAAAGAAAAGGCTGGCGCTAAAATTGGTTGAGTATCGATTTGAAACGTTCAACTAAAATCTGTAAATTCTCACGTAAAATTAAAAGAAAACAGTTGTAGACTTCTAAATAAAATCTCAAGTTTGACCATAGACACTAGTCGAAATTTATTTTAGGACCTTAGAATCTTTAATTTGTCACTTAAACATGCTTTATAAGCTATGATAGATAAAAGCTATATTAAATTATAAAAAAAAACTTCTAATGTCTATTATCGATAGTTACATTATGTTTGTCTATGTATGTATATTAAATAGATATTGCATATCCGGGATGCATTTTTAGGTCACTTGTTTTCCGATAATTTAATAACGAATATTATATATACGTATTTTGTTATTGCATGTACACGGCTTGAACTAAAAGCACTATAGTACAAAACTTAAAGGTTACTTTCGTTTAAAAAAATGAGGGTCCGTTTTTAATACTAGCGTATTTTTAACTATTTTTTTATGTAATGCATTTATTACTCTTATTGTCGATGAGGTTTCCTATTAAATAGCTATTAGAGATGGGTAGTCCATATAACACTGTTTCTTGCGAGGCGTATCAATTAGAAGGGATATTCAATCGACATCATATATCCTTGTTAAATTCTTCCGTTCTATAAGTATATTGAAGGTAATATTATTAGATGGAAAAATTTCACTCCTTCGTTTTATTCTTTTATAACAAAAAGTTTCCACGTTCTACATTTTCAATATTCGTTTTATATTAAACACAAAATTATTGTTTTTACATATACTTTTATAGCAATTATCCTTGTTATGAATGTAGATATGTTTGTTTCGTGTTTTACCAATCGACAAAAAGTACACCCGGACCTTGTTATATCTGGCAACAAAATAAACATTACATAATAAAAAAAAACTATAATAGTCGACCTGGATAAGCGAGTAACTCGTGTTAGAGAGAAACATCTATATATGACAAAAATATCGTGGTTCCTTAAACTCTAGCTTATCCAGGGTTTATTGTAAAAGAAAAGGAGCTTTGTGATGCATCTGTTGTAGGAACTAAAGATAATTTCATTTAGATTTGCAGTTGCCATATGGCTCTACCAATTGGCGACGTAACTAGGGGGCGATATGTATGTTATATTCATGAATATTTATTATAAGTTTGTAGGTTACGTAGCTATTAAACAAATGAAATGCCTCACATAAACATCTGCAGAACTTTATTAACCTAATTACGATTCTGTGTAGTTTCAAAAGATTTCGCAAACAATATTCATAGTAAAAAGAGAAATGAGGATGGCTTTACTGGATTATTCTGTTGGACAAAGGATCAGTTAATCTTTTTTAAGAATCTTGAGCTTACCTTTTTAACATAATAATTTACGCGTAAAGGAAATAAATGTATGGTTTTGAATAATTCTTATACAAACTTTTTCTTTGTTATTTGAAAAATAAACGAAGATATGTTGTTTACGAATATCAAATCTCAAAATTTACGCTATACGCTTACGATATGTTAAAGGCCTTAAAATAATTAAGAACGCTGAATTTAAAAGCTGTTGTTGGTGTCAACGTAGTATATTTATAATGCAATTGGTCAAGGAATAAAAAACATATTGCGTCATACAACAACGGTTATTCATTGTGGCATATGTCATCAAAACTAGTTTGATAATTTTGCTTGTGAATCAACAACCATGTGGCAATGTACTTCTTACTACTATTATAAATGAGATGGATGGATGGATCTTGGTGAAACTTGGCATAGATGTAGAACATAGTCTGAAAGAACGTATAGGTTACTAATTAAGTTTTTTTTAATAACGCGCGGACGTCGCGGACGACAGCTATTTATAATGATTTTCGAAATGTTTTCGTTTAATTTGACCTCCCAGTTGTGCAATGTAAACAGAATTGGGCAATAATTTAGACACATATATGAAATGCAAGTAATAATGCTAACAGGACGTTTTAAGATTAACGAAATATAACCAATTTGGAATTTAAAAATAATATGAGGATCTTTTATAAAAAATGGAAAGTATGGCGACCTTACGAGCTTTGATTGTTGGTTTATTGTGTGGCTACACGAAGAATTGGGTTATGGGAGCAGCTCTTAACTTTTTTTTCTCTAACAAAGCACTGAGTTCTAGTTTAATCACTATGCGACATGTTAGTTTAGTTTGTGTATGTTTTTTAAAATGTTTACTGTAATAATGTGGCCGTTATAAATATAACATAATGCGTAATACATCGTTTTACTAATAAGTAATTCTTTGTTCAAAAGGACACTGGTTTTGTACTTCTGTTTAAATGTCAAGCCTCCATGAAACAAGCCGATGTTAGTTTATCAAATAAAATTCTCTTTCTTTTGGTGTCACTTCTTAGCGAAGGTTAGCGATCATAGCAACTTGAACATTTGACTGGAAAAGATACAAGGATAAAGAATTCCAGGAAGAAGAACATCTATGCTGAAAAATCTGCGCCAACGGTACAACAAAAGTACGCGTTCCATATTTCGAGCAGCTGTGTCCAGAGTTCAAGTTGCTTCAAATAAAATTGTCCAAACATTAATAATACCTTGACTATCGTATAATGCGTTACGTACAAAATGTTGGCAATAAAAAGAAGTAAATTATTACACACCAACCCTAATACATTGGGGTTAGGTTGGTAATATTCTGACACGCGCTGGATTCGAACCCTCTAAGACGAGGGCGACATTTAGCGTATAAATCACCTGACCCCACAGCTCGTGTCCGCGGTTATTGCTCGCTTCCAGCTGCGACTGGAATTCTTAATACTTTTTTCCCTTCACTCTTCAATTTTCCGGTTCACGGACACTCGTTGCAGATTTTATTGTCTGAATTGCGTCCCCTATAAACCTGCAAGGTATAAAGTTTTTTTTTAATATGTCAGTTTCCTGCCCGTTGTAAAATAAAATACTTGTACT